TTTTTTGATTGGTTGGGAAAAATGCAAAAAAATCGGGCAAATTTCTTTCTACCGCCCCTTAATTTTTTCCTCCTCGCATGCCTATGATCCTTGCTCAAGATTTCACTTACCTTTTTATTTTTCGTTCTAGGAAGTGGGATCCGATGACCGAATGTAGCTCCGTTTCTTTTCTGCAGTACATCATTTGCAGATTCGGTTTCCACAGTGGCATTATTCAGTTCACAATTACGACCAGGCACAGCCTCATACATATTCCAAGATTCACATTCCTCTTCACTGGAGCACATCATCGAGCATTCGACTTGTGACATTGCACGAATGCTTTTGATCACATGATTTGCAAGATAACGGTCTTTGTACAATTTGAACAAAGAGGACTTAGATGCTCCATCACTTTGTTTTACCAACGTCAAAAAACCACAACAGTCTGTTTCATCCGTTTAGGACCACCTGATGATTCCTATACGGATGAAACAGACTGTTGTGGTTTTTTGAGGTAAAACGAAAAACTATATATATAATTTGTTTTGTTGTAGTAGATAATAACCCACCGGGCACACGACGTTGTTTCAACGTTGAAATTTGGTAGAAAAAAGGTTGCGACGTCGACAACCTAATACCTACGTTGCTCTGACGTTGTTTTACAAACATTAGTTCAACAGCAGCCAACAGACGTTGAATCAACGTTCATTCATGGTTAAATGTACGACGTCGATTTGTGAACCAATCTCAACGTTGTTTTAACGTGGATTCAACGTTGAATTATGGTTGACGAGATTGGCAACCTAATTTCAACGTTGTTTCAACGTCGAAACAGTAACGTCGATCCAATTTGCATAGTCAACCCTTTTTCAACGTCTATCCAACGTCTGGAAGGTCATTTCCAACGTTGATTCAACGTTGGATAAACGTCATTTTGCCCGCTGGGAAAGTGCTCAACACTAATACAAAAGTAGAGCAAGATATACTTATATCTTAAAATTAATTATTGCTACTCAAGTTTCACGCCTTATTCAAGACGATCTTCAGGCAATTGATTCAGTTTGTCAACCAATTGCCTGAACCAAACTGACTGAATCAATTGCCTGAAGATCGTCTTGAATAAGGAGTGAAACTTGAGTAGCAATAATTAATTTTAAGATATAAGTATATATATATATATATATATATATATATATATATATATATATATATATATATATATATATATATATATATATATATATATATATATATAATAACTAAAAATGTCTTAGTATTTAGCTGGTCTATAAAATTTAAGCAATATATACTTTTTCTCCGTGTATATAACTTAAATAATAATAATAATAATTTAAAAGAAAAAATGGTCTCCAACATTCTGCCCTCTTCCGCCCTCACTGTATTTTGCTCTTTTCCGGCCCGAGGTAATTTTAAGTTTTCTGTTCTTGCGAGTACGTCAGTGATATAACAGGTATTTATCGACTTATAAACCTTTTACTTCGTGAAGTTATTTCTAAAAAGAGCTATTGAAAGCATGCGCAGAATATATACTATAGTATATACTATATTGTGTTTTAAAAGTCAACACATGCATGTATAGGTGAAACACCAGCTGCTCATGCAAGGGATATTCTTTTAAGTTTACCGAGTTGAAACTGCAGCATGGATTTGGTAAAAAAAATGGATGGCTATATAGGAAATGAAATTTAGAAAAAATGGTCTGGAAAATGGGATCTATATCCTCGCCCCTTTCAGAACTGTCATTATTGCTATTTACATGCAGTGTCACTGAAGCCTTGCATGCATTTAAAATTTCAACTGAACTATTCTATTCGATTCTCAATCTTTGTCAGCCTTCCAGGGACTGATATAATCGTTTATTAATAATAATTGACAGTCAAATTGAAGCAATTGCACTGATGTGCATAGCTATTGAGCTATAGTCTATAGTCTTCATGAAATTTAACATTTTTCGAATTCAGTTTTTTTTATTGAAATATAGATAGATAGATTTTTTATTAAAACTACTTTGCAGCTGAAGCTGAATTGCGTAGATGTTTACGTAATATGTACAAGAATGGTGTAGGTTATATAAATATTTACAATTGGTGACAGGATACAAGGTGCAATTGACATTATTTACTATTTAACATATGTGGTATAAAAGTGTTCTTGAAACGCTTAGTACGTGCTAAAAGAGAACTAAAGGAACGTTTGTGTCTCAGATTATATGTCTGCTTTTCTTTGGGGGTAAAAGTTTATAAAGTTTGTGATCTGAGTTTGATGTTATCGAATCAAACAGCTTCAAACATAACATTTGCCTTCGATTGACTAAAGT